CATTATTTTTGGATTTTCCGTGAAAATGCCAGTGGACGTATTTAATCTCGAAAAATCAAAATTCCGGAATTTGAGATGTTGTCCTACTTTTTGAATTTCGGTATTTTTTTCGGGAATATACATCGGAACGGTGCATTGGAACTTCGGAAAATCCGAATGATCATGAAAGTGAATTTAAAAAGAGCCGTATGTTGCGAATACCAACGCGACCATCGAGCGACCGACAATTGATAAAAGGGCGCGAAACTTGGCGAGCTTTTGTGATAAATTGACATTAATCACCCACTAACCCCGAGATAACATAACTTCGGCGAACTACATCTGCGTACATCGGAGGCAGAGTTAAGAAAGTGCCAGTGACAATGACAAATTAATGCGCAGTGCGAAACGAGCTACCCGGCGGTGAGAAATGTATACTTAATCTCGAAGTTAAAACGAGCGCGTCGGAAATCGACGTAAGTCGATCAACGGGTCTCGCGAAGTTCGCGGCAAATACGTGTATAAATAGCGTTATCGGATGCTAATTGACGAAGTTTCAACTCGACTTCTTTAAGGTGGGCGGGGAAGGAGCGACTCTTCTTGCGTCGCACTCTTCGGGAACTTTTAGATTCTTCGCCCGGTCTTCGGAGAATTTCTTCTGAAACTTGAGGAATAAGAATGTCAGGTATATACACGGTGTGTTTCACGAAGATACAGACGCAAGGAGCAAGAAACCGTAAAATTATATGCGACCCCGATGGCAGATAAGTTTACAACTTGATGCTGTTAAATGGCACGAAATCGAACATAATCATCATTCGAAGCCGCGTGTGTCCGCAGCGGCCCGCGATTCCTGTCGATCCGACACGCCCTGTTTCTCTCACCTCCGTTTTGTCTTCCGCTTTTTTTTTATCATTCCTTTCTATATCTTTTTCCGCACTTCCGCCGCGAGTTGCAACAAACACGTGATCCTCCGCTCGCGACCATTGTCCGTGCCGCTGTGCATTCGCCAGAAGGCGCTTCCGGCTTCGCGTATCATTGCATCGGCGCATATGCAATGAATTTTATGGGAGTCACGTGCGCCGCTTTTGTCGCGCAAAAAGAAATAATACCTCCGCGGCGCTGACAGTTATGCGCGTAAAGCCACGGAAGAAAAATTTGTTCCGGGAGAACAATAAAGCGGAGAGCGCCTCTCGGTGAAACGCGCCGCGGTGCATTTTTTCTCGATTTGCGAAACGATCGGTCCGCCGTAGCGATTGTGTATAATCGTACAATCGTGCGACACAACAATTTTCATTTAATAATAAATAATAATAAAATATATATATAATATACAGAATGTCTCTGTCACTAAGTGGGACGTCCTTCATACGAGTATAATTGTGGTTTAGGTCAATATGAGCAAAGAGTCCTCTGCCATTTTGCAAACAATTATGATGTTCTTTGTGCGGCTACTCAGTCTATTTTAAATCGTAACCTACTATGTATATTAATGCCAAAGAACGTCAATTTGAACATTTTATGCAAACTTTATGTTTTCTTTCTTATTTTTCGTTTTTAATAAAAAAATGTTCCGAAAAATTATATTCTACATTACATTTATAAGCCTTCAACGCTTGTAAATGGATATGGACCGTTTCGGTTATCGTATAGTTGGACTCATGTTTATACAAATTTATTATTAAACATTTTGTAATTCAATGCCCATTAGAAACATGCTCTTTATGTTTGTATAATATGTAACATGTAACACTCTGTGTATGCATATATAAATAAAGTATAGAAAATGAAATATACATCACGCATTGATTGCGATGTCCACGTTTCTTTATACGCGTAACGAGAGTCGCCGGTAATGACGCCTCATCATTTTACTTTTAATTAATTAAAAGCAGGACGTAAATAGCGAATGTGTTAAATTGTTGAATTTAATTAATTTAATTGCTATAAAGTGTAATTACGAGATTGTATATTGTTGCGGCTGGCGTGCTGTTTCTTTGCGTAAATAATAACAGAAGGCGAATTTCGCACCGCGACTCTCTCGGGAAACCCACGTCGCGAAACCACTCGCGATTTCAATCGGAAACGCAAATCTCCCGCCAGAATGTTTCCGACAGCAACGTCGTATGTCGCTTTTCGGCAATCATTTCGATCCTTTTGAAGTCAGCCTGTCGTCATTGCGAAACGAAGAATAATGGTTCTTTTCTGTCACTGCGTGAGATTTCTATTCACAGTGAAAAACTTGGTGTTAAATTTAACACATTTCACATATCTCAAATGGCCCACTTGAATTTCTGTTTAATTTCATATAAGATAAATATGTTGAAAAGTCACGCAAATATTATGTAAAAAATTAATACGTTAATCGATACTGAAGTGTAAAATATGTTATTTTAACATTTACATATGCGTTGAATATCGACGCAACACAAAATATTAAGGTAACATAAACACAATATGTCGTTACGTTAAAAATTTAACACAAAAATCATAACAAGGACCGATTTTAACACAAGAACAAAATATTTTCTACTGTGCAGTCACGTCCTGATCGGAATCGATTTTTTCGCCTCCCGAGGGGAGTTGAAAGCTTTCGGAGAAACCTTTCGAGCGGTATAGGAACGTCTACGATAGAACAACTGACAAACCTTGATTATTTCGTTCGGAAATCTGATTATAATTCCACGATAACAGCATTGATCGTACCGAGCTGGAGTATTCAAATTGAAGGTGTTAAATTCTGTACGCGACTTTCATGCACCCATGCAACAGTATTACGTCGCATGCGCGATTAAACCCGTAACTCGAAGCTATTAGATCGCCTTCACTGGAATCCGATACGAGAAACGGGAATCTGATATTACTGGCGGTGTTAATATCGCCAATGTGTCACCGACACGAATTTGTCAATTCCGACGTGACAATATCATAATTAAACGTCGCAAATGTAAGACACGGTCGCACGTCGGGCCGCATTCGACGATCCTGGCCGCGACTGTACGTTACGAGGTTACCTTTTTTCCGACTTTTCCGAATTAGATCGCAGGAAAAGGTTTTCTACTCGGGATACCGATTCACGCAGTTTTCATGCCCTCTCTGGGCGAGTGATCGCGCTTTGGCGAATTTTATGCGACAACGCGAGGGCTTTCGGACCGTCACCGTGAAACCGGATGCAACAGCTTGCCGCAGACTGACCATCCGACTGTGCTTCCGGTTTAATTCGGTCCGTGAACCGTGAATTAATATTTCATCACGGTTGCGTACTTTCTCACCCTCGTGCGGCCGCCCTTCGGCTGTCGCGCCCGGCCGTTTTATTCTTCGCTTCGCTTTCTTTCGTTGTTTCAGGATGTTTTCGCGCGTGAGATCGACGCCGCGGGGTTAACGACCCGTGCCGACGGAAAATACTGCCATTCGGATCGTTCCGACACTTCCGACGGAGAAAAATTAACGGTTGCTCGCTAACTCCAACGTACAATGCGATGCATTAATGGCCGCTGCTGCACAGACGCACTTATCACTACAACCCACTCTTTACGTAGGCCTCGTGGCGCTCACTACTGTTTTCCCGACGATCGGTTACCGCGTCTATTATGCTGCCCGATTCTCTGAAACAGAGTGCGCCATTAACGTCTACATTGTTACGTTTGTTTCTCGCTGTTCCATCTTGGGTCACTACTACAATCGCGAATCGCTCTCACTATGTGCGTGAGCGAATGCGTATAAAAAGCCTCATCCTTCGTTGCAAATATCTCAGCTTTCGAATGGTCAATCGTTTCCTAATTACGCCAATAATTAGGTTCTATTTTCAATAGTGCAAGTTTCAACGAATTCTTTAAAAACTTATTTTGTGCTGCAACTGTCTTAGAAGCGTGAAAATTTCAACCGAGGAAATATGCGAGAACGACCGAGTTGCATCGCGTTTGAATATTCTATGTGCGTCCTCCGATTCGTCGTCAAGTTACAATTGCTCGACGGAAGTAATCGTATCTCGCGGTGGTCCTCGACGTCGCGGATCGCCGGGTTTACGCTTCCTCACGAAAAACAGGGCAATCTTAAGTTTGCCCACGTAAGCTCGCAACTCGTACGTGCCCGAGTCGCGTCCGCGGAAACATCCGCGGTCACTCGTGACTCTCATCTTCAAGGAGGTCACGGTATCGCGGGGGAACAGATGCGCGAGAAAAGCCTCCCCCCGGAAGCCTGATGAGCGGAATTCGATGACTTGTGTGACCTACATGTGGGCGGCACAATGCATCCAACGGCGCGCGATGCTGCGATACGAAGAGCTCGCGATTCCGTAGCGATTCGAAATCAATAGGGGCGTATATCGATGATGTATCAGTACGACGACCGTCTTGTGCCGTACCAATTGACTCCCGTGCTCCGGAGTCGAGTGCTCTGGGGAAAGGAGTCGCGATTGTGTTACAAAAGACGAGGGCTATCCTATCGATCTCTCTCTCGAAATTGCTCAGATAGCGAAATGCCGTTCAACGAGAGCGCATATATAGCAACTGCATCATATCGCGTAGAGATGCATTGCGCGGTATTTCGTTACCGTGACGGATTCATATCAACGGTAATCTGAAGCGCACATTTCCCCCCTATCCCAAATTAATGGAAATTCATTTATCGAACGCTAGAGAATATGTGTTGCTCATAAAAACGGATACGTACTTCGACTGGAATCGATGTGCTCGATCGATTTTCACGTTCTGCACAATAACTCAGTGTCCAATCATGAGAACTCCCGGGAAATATCGTTGCGATACGTAACTTGGAATCTTCGCGGCTCTCGAAAATACCGGCACACGGTACATCTGATCGGTTTCAAACGCGACGCATTTTGCACCTTCAACGAAGTTTCGCAGCTCAACAAGGTTTCAGAGCCCCACAAACAAAACGACACGTCGGTCTTGGTACTTTTCCACTAATGCTTTCACTATGATGATTATAATTGCAAATATCTGCGATAATTGAGGAATTGCTCAGAAGTTCACCACTCCCTCTCTCTTTCGGTCTGTTAGCAGAATGAGAACAGGGCCTTACGGCTGAAAGAACCCGCGTCTTTGGCGCTTTCCGCTGGTGGAAATTCCGGCGGCTATGTGGACCCAGACGGCACGGCCATTGTAATGTCGTCCGAGCTTCTGCCGGCGCCTACTCCGGACCCGAGAGTGACGTGGAATTACTTCGACGAGCAGGGGTGAGTCAGGGAGGCGTCTTTCCCTCGCGATAATCGACTCGAAGAGCGTATCTCGGTCGCTTCGACCGACTAGACACCCTCGCGCGCGTCCTTAAACATTCACCAAAAAGCATCGGCGGCGGCGGATGCGATATTAATTCCTCTGCAGCGTGACTTCAGTCCCGGGCTTGGCACATTGGTATTAATTGTTTCGCGCAAGAACCTATTATTATCTTTAGGCAGTCGGAGCGTTAACTTTCCACCGGCTGCAGCACGCGCTATCGAGCAGTTTCTCGCACCGCCGCCGGGACATTTCCGCGCATTATTGTTCGCTACATTACGCTGGAATGTTTCGTTCTATGCGCCATCCGTCGGCACTATTACGCGCAATTATAGCTCCGGGCGTACCGTTACAATCGTCGCGATAGATGTTGCGCGCGTTTTTCGATGCGCGCGTCGAACGCCACGCGTCGCGGCTTGACGGTGGAAATAACGATAAATTTAGCAGCAATCATTTTCTTTGCGCAACAGGTACGTGTCGAGGGGCGGCCTGCGAGCGGGCGAAGACCCGTACGCGAGGAATAAATTCAATCAGGAAGCCTCCGACGGTCTCCCGAGCAATCGTGACATACCCGATACTCGCAGCGCCATGTAAGTAATTAAGTAATAATTGCCGATAGATTCATCATTGCGGCCGCGTTGCGTCATTTCGTAGAAAGACTCTTGAAGACGAGGTGCATTGTATATATTAATCGAATTTCATGAACAATTCATTTTAAATATAGTTTCCCACAATAATTTAATTAATATGTCACTACGACAACAATCTAGCTTCTTAATAGTCCGTTCTATTTCTCTGGTTAATAATCAAGAAAGTTAATGTAAATATTAACCATCAATGGAAATATTTTTCTCTCCAAATTTTCGAGAATTTTCCAAGTTTATTAGAAATATTGAACTGATATTAAACTGATATCGAAGCAATATTTTCTGTACACACTAAGTAAGACTAAAATGAATCCAACGGCCGCGTGTCATCGTTTATTTCTCACGACCATCGCAGCGTTTCTTCGTCTTCAGTCGTCTATCGACGGAAACGTCCGCGTCTCGCGGAGCGACACATCGGCAATGTCTGTTGCAAAATTTCGTCCTGCTTTATTCCCGTTCGCACGCTCGCCGGAGGTGACGAGCAAGTTCCCCGTGTCCCTCTAAATAATGTATCGGTCCGTACAATCGATGAATACGAGTCGCGCCAGACACTGCCTCACGAGAGACAAGCGCTCGGGAATGAACGAGAAAAGAACGGGAAGAAATAAGGGGACGCAGAAATTGGCTTGTCGGTCGATCAACCTGTTTATACACTATTATTGGCAGTTACGTGATTCTCTCGGCGGATGTTATGCCTCGAAAACGATCGGCAAGATCGCGGCACACCGTTGGGAATTCATGCGGCATCATGACAAGTTGCGATACGTGCGGCTCGCCAGACGGCAGCTGCGCCGCCGGAGAGAAGAGACCTCGCAAATATTGAGCAGCAATGTATTCCTTTCCTTATAAGCGGCGTAAGGCGGGTCGTTCGCGAAAAGAAACTTTCATTCAGGCGGAATATTAACGGCGACGGGAAAATTACACGGAAGATTTCTCGTGACGGGACGTTATATATGCGAAAGTAAAATCTAGTTTACAACTCGACGATACTCGACGGAGAAGAAGAAGAAAAAAAACATACCGGAGGAAGTATACGTTTCATCCGTTTTCTTGTTAATGCGCATGATCGAAGTAAGATAGAGAGGAGAATCCATTTCCGCGTGCCGCCGCGCGAGTATCCCCCGTAAGTAATTTCCCGCGGAAGGAAACCCAGCATCGATCCAGCTGCCGGTTGTCATAACTTCGTCAAAGAAAGATAATGATGCGCCGCGGATACACCGCGATGCGCTCTGAACGGTCGAAGGTCCGGATAAAATCTGAAGTTCTAAACGGGCCGATTTATCTTGTTCCGCTTGCGTTATCTCCCTCGCCAGGCGGGCGAACTTTTTAACATCGCGATTTTCACGAGGATGAACAAACGCGCGCTACGTACAAACATGAAACACCCGGGGAGACTGTAATTGGCAGCTCCGTATGTTTTCTTCACGCCGTCGTGATCGCGCGAGCTATACCCGCCTAATGAAATCACCTTGACCCCAGCCTGGTGCGATCCATCCTCGTATGCCGTTCCCCGACAACGTCTTTTTCTATCATGAAAAATTCAGAGGTAACATGAAGTTTCAATACATTCAGACTATCGAAGAGTTCGAGTGCCGCCCGAGAAGGACGATAAAGCTGCGGCCATAAATTCTTATCGACGCAAATAGATCATTGACGTGGTTGTTACACGTCACAAGTGCGCTGCTCGTCTCCGGCGCGTCCTGCCTGTGGGAAAACGTGAAACCGCTCGTATCTTCCCCGTGTGTACTTCCGGGCCGAAATGTTGGGTTCTGCATTAACCCTGCAAATTCCGTCGAACTGGAAGAACCAGTGGAGAGTATTGAACGTGTCACGCTACACTCAGAGGAAGAATTCATTTAAAGAATTAACCACATAGAGGAAAAGATTTCTTTGGATTTAATAACCTTTCTTTAATTGAAATAAATTTGACCTTTGGAATAGAGCAAATGAATAAATGTTTGATTCAACAAATAGAGTTGTTTGGTTTCTCAAACAATAAATTACTTGAAAGAAGTAACATTATGTTAGAAGAATATCAAATCATTTCTTTTCTTTCAGTGGAACAACATATTTAATATATAATTAAGTTGCTACTAAAAAAATAACTTCTCTGAGTGACACGAGCTATTGTTTTTCGATGCTGCTAATGGTTATTTACCGTTATTTCCCACGTGGCTTTTGGCTAAAAGTTAATCAGTCACATTCGCGATAAATAAATAATTATCATCGCGGCATCATTTGTCATACTCCGGAATGTATATTAATTTTCACGCCGTCACACATGGTTTATCGAAGCGTCATTAATTAAATTACTACTTTTGCTTCAATTAACATCACAGTGTGATTAATACACTGTAAATTTTTACGTCTCGTAACAGAGTATTCTAAATGCGAAATAAATATCGATACTGATATATAATTAGCTGATGTGGTAATTCACGGTACATTGTAATTTATTAGTAAACAAATAGTTTGATCACAGAGAGAGAGAGAGAAATAGAGAGAATCGAGAGTTATTTAATCGCTTTGCCATTTGAAACTAACATCACTTCCATACGCTGCATCCCCAACCGAATTCAAAAATTACAAGGAAATCCACTTCATCGCAAGTCCAAAAATTTGCTACAAACTGTCTCCGCAAATAGATAGAAAAATATCGTGAATTCGTATCGTCCTGTATGAGGCGAATCCCGTTTTAAGAAAAATCATCGCAAGAACGTGCCTCGCAGCACTCGCCAACGCGATGAATTTTTGCGCGTCCTTGCTCGCAGACAGACGCAACGCGAAAACACAGGAAGTCAAAGCCGGGACGAAGTTGGCCATTTTGGACGAAAAAGAGACGGTCCTTTTTGCTGAAACAAAGGTCGTAGAAGGGTTCCGGGCTCGATCCCGACGGTTACCCACTGGAAGGAGCAGCGTGACGGGGGAGAATTGGGAAAGCAATAGGATTGAGTTTGCGAAGTTTAGGGGTCTCGCGCGCTTAATGGTATTGCCTGCTCTCGGTGTGCCCTATGCGTCCAATATACTGCTAATAAAAACGTAGGCCAACTTAACGTTTTCTCTCTCTCTCTCTCTCTCTCTCTCTCTCTATCTATCTATCTATCTTCCTCTCCTTTTCTCTCTCTTTTGTTGAGCATACGTGGAGAAGCGCATTCGAAACTTCAATTGTTGCATGCTCTTGAAACTTCGATTTTTGCACAGCCGACGATGGCACAGCGTTGATAAGCGATCGCGTGTTGTATTGTATTAACTTGACCGGAGATAATGCGATTGTTTTGGACGGTTTCGACCTTCTCGAACCGTCTCTGTTCAAACAAAATTTCGTAATGACATGGCGACGCCCAATAGCGACTGCATATCCGGAATAATCACACATTTAGGATAATTACTTCATTATCGCAGACTAACTATTACACGAATCGATGTATCTCGGTTAGAGAGATCAAAGTGTAATCCAATCCCATAATCAAATCAATTCATTACCGATGTAATTAATATCGGATTCACGAGTATATACTTTTCAACATGTAATAAAGTACGCACACAGATGTACACGTGTGTACAGATACGGACTTCTCGGCCTAATTCATTTACCTTAATTATCCTGCCGCGTATTCGAGATGAAAACTTTTGACTCTACGTTAAAGTCAGAAGAGCGTCAGAATTTTGACTCAAGTATCGTATAACGTCAAATAACATGAGAATAATCGCTCACGCTGACGTTACGATAACAACCTCACCGTCCTTAAAGAAATAGAAGATATTTACAATGTGTCTCGACAGGCGACGTCGCGGGGGAAGTAACTGGTGCGTCGACGGGTTAAACACGAAATTGCATGGTAGACGCTTTTGTAGTGCGCTTCGATAGCAAACGATCGATGCCGCGATGCGTTTATATCGGAAGGCCGCGCTTGTATCGGCGAATTTAGAATGCAGTTTCTGTTCGACCTTTCTCCTCCGACTGTCTCGCGTCTCTGAAACTGCTCTTCGTCCTCATCCCCCTCCCCCAAGGTGATCTAATTTCCTGCGTTTCTCTCTTCCGCTGTCGTGACACGCGACTACAAGTCGTATTTCTTGCGGACAAACACGATCAACAGCGATATCGAAGCATCGGCGATGCCTGTCGGACCACAGAGTGGTCCTGAATGAATGTGACTTACTATCGATATTCGCTCCCGCCCCCTCACCCTAACCAGACGCGATATTGCGCGAGGCGCCATTAATTTCGCTTCAAAGCGGAAATCCGTATCAGTTTACGTCCGTTTGATTAATTTCGAATAACGCGTTCGCGGCGGATCCCCCGGATAGCGGAGCTATCGACCGTGATCTTCGTTTTCTCCGGGATACACAGCGCGCGGGCGCTCGCGACTGATCGCGCCCCGACTTCTTACAGAACAGCACGCGGAGATCCTGTTAGTTGCGGGCTCATGAATCAGCGAGAAGTCCGAGTTTAGTCAGCATAAATAGTGACTGATGGGATTGTACCAGGGATATTCGACACGCGCCGGGTCCGTAAATATCAGACCGTCTGAAATGAGAAGCGGATGAATCGTGGATTCCTGAATAAGGGAGGCGAGGAACAATTGAGACAATTTTGAATATTTGCCTTCTTCAGTTTTGGTAATTTACGAAATTTTGTGATAATAAAAGTTGAGACCGTTACTTTACCTACGAGGAAGTTGATACAAGGTTTGAATTAACTGTTTTCATACATGTGTCACGTAGAGGCACATCAGCGGTGTTTTAATAAAAAGAAAAGCGTACTACCAACTGTCCCCCAGTACCAATTCTCCCTTTCCTCTCTCATAATAAAGACGCATTATTTGTCTCGAATATCCTTGTGCGTAAAGTATGCGTGCCATACGAACGCGGAGAGACTACGTGGACGCAATTTTAAGGACGCAGTTCGGGAAAGGCGAAAGGTGGCCTCCCCCACGTGCTCT